TTTAGAGACGTTTCCTTTTCTATAGATGGGGTTATAACACTCACCCTGTCAGGTTCTCCTGTGTGTTGACAAGGCCGGCACGTGACACACCAGGGGCAGAGTCAGATGGGAACCGTCTTCCTCAGACAACATGGTCCTCATAAGCATCAACAAAATAAGGAGAGCAGGAGATCAGGGTGTCTCCAGCTGTGTCGGGACTGCAGCAGGGACTCAGCAACAGTCAATCTCTTTCTCTTGTTTCATCCAAATCATACATTCAAAAAAAAAAGGTGGGGTTATCATGGATGTTTATATGGATTCCTGGGATCAGGCAAATACACCTTTCCTTGTCATTCCTTCAAGAGTTATGTCCACACACAAACTTGCACACAAATGTTCAGAGCTTTACTCGGGATTACCAGAAACTGGAGGCAACCAACATGTCCTTCAGTAGGTGAATGGATAAATAAATTCTGGTACCTACAGACAATGGAATATCATTCAGTGAGAAAATAAATGAGCTATCTAATCATGAAAAGGCACACAGGGACCCAAAATGCATACCACTAAGTGAAAGAAGCCAAAAAGGCTACATACTGTATGATTCCAATTACATGACATTTTGGAAAAGGGAAAATTACAAAGATAGTAAAACAATCAATGGTTGACAGGGGTTGGGGAGAGGAAAGGATGGATAGGCAGAGAGCCCTGGCTGCTTAGGGCAGTGAGACCACTGTGTGCGATTTCACCACAACGGTGGACCCATGACAGCGTGCAGATGCCCACACCCATTGAATTAAGACCACAAAAAGGTATTAATTACATCAACTATGAACTTTCATAATGAAATAAATCATGTTTTTTAAAAGTGGACAGTTTTGTTCAGTTTCTGTCTACTTTCTGAAATGGAGACGGTGGAGTGCTTCCATGGTTGTGAGGATAAAAATAGCTTAGAGAATGTAATAACTAAAATAGGTGCATAAACATTGTTAAACTATTTTATTCTCATTAAAAAGCATTGCTTAAGTATATTTATATTTAAAAGTTGAGCAAGGAGTGCAAACACGTTAACATCATTCTCCTCTAGCTCCACTCAGAAGTCAGGACTGCACAGCTCCGCTTCCACCTGCGAAACACAACCTTTTTCAGCGTCATTAAAATATTTCAGCGGGAGGATTGACTTTAGACTCAACCTGTGTTTTCTCCCCTGGAAAACAAAGGTTTTATGAAACAAACAAAGCCTTTACCGTCCTCAACCGAAACACTCAGACATCTGTGATGTCTGCTGTAAGTGCCACCAGGCTCTCCTCTGAAATCTCGTAATGGGAAAAGAGACTGTAGATTCTTTTAGAAAGGGGAGAATCAGAACTAATGTCGAAAGGCCATGTCCTCATTCATAAACACCTTCTTTTACAAAATCCACAGGTTTAGTTACTTTGGGATTAATATGGGCCTTTTTTTTTTTTTTTTTTTTTTTTTTTTTTTTGAGACGGAGTCTTGCTCTATAGCCCGGGCTGGAGTGCAGTGGCCGGATCTCAGCTCACTGCAAGCTCCGCCTCCCGGGTTTACGCCATTCTCCTGCCTCAGCCTCCGGAGTAGCTGGGACTACAGGCGCCCGAATATGGGCCTATTTTAAAGTGCATTTATTAATTTAGCATGAATTGTTCGAAGTCATTCTGGATCCTAAGCCGATATCCAGCAATGCCGGGTGTGCGCCTGTGAGAGTCACCAGCCCTGATGAGCCTCAGGTTATTGTATTTATAAAATTAAGGTTAGGCTTGCTCCAGTTTTTTTAAAACCATTTTTAATAGTAAAAACTTTTTTTGTTGTTACATAAAAATGTACAAGAAAAACTCAAACATTACCAATGATAATCATTTTATTAATATAAATATTTTTGTGAGCTCAATTTATGACTTAATTATAGAAGAAATAAGCAACATGAGGTGCCATTATAAAATATGGTAACCATACTTTCCTACTTTGTTTATATGTTATTGATAAATCTTGATGTATACACAAAAGGAGTTTCAAAAGAATAATAATTTAAAATAATATCTTGACTTGTAATTTCAGGGACTTTAAAAAAATTCCTGAAACTGCTTTTTAAAGGTTCTAGAACAGTTTTTTTTTTTTTTTTTTTTTTTGAGACGGAGTCTCGCTGTGTCTCCCAGGCTGGAGTGCAGCGGCGTGATCTCGGCTCACTGCAAGCTCCGCCCCCGGGGTTCACGCCATTCTCCCGCCTCAGCCTCCCAAGTAGCTGAGACTACAGGCACCCGCCACCACGCCCGGCTAGTTTTTTGTATTTTTAGTAGAGACGGGGTTTCACCATGTTAGCCAGGATAGTCTCGATCTCCTGACCTCGTGATCCACCCGCCTCGGCCTCCCAAAGTGCTGGGATTACAGGCTTGAGCCACCGCGCCCGGCCTCTAGAACAGTTTTCTATGTCTTCCAGCTAAATAACTACAAAGAGCTAACTCTTCTCACATTCTGTATTATAAATATAAGTCAAAAAAGGAACAAAATCATAAAAACACATGCATGAACAAATGGGCCTTGGCTCACATTTAATTGCATCTGCCAATGCACATAGGTTATAGCAGAATTTTTGTGTGTAATTTTACGAGTGGATTTCTGTCAAAATAAAAATTGTCTACTATCTCTATTCAGTGGTATATTTGCACAAATGGTAAACAAATTCATAGAGATAGTGGGAGAAATTAATTTCATGGCTTACAAGAAGATAGGTTAAGTTGGGACACTTAATTGTTTCATTAATGCTACATTTTATAATGCGCTTATATGGGCAAGGTATTTAAATGTATTATAACAACTTTTAAATGCTCAATGTTACAGATGGAATTACTAGAGAAAGTACTAGCTGATATTTTCTTTGTGTGTGCTTTGAAGGCACAAGGAAATCATAAAGCAGCCCTTTTCCCTTTCCCCATCTATTTCCTGAAGGCCAAGCTGTGCTTTTGCAGATTAGGCCTCTCTGTAACACACACACACACACACACACATATGGCCTTTATGGTTTTAAAGGAGGAAAAGAGAATTTGCCTGGATAACTCTCACCTAGGTATTTTCTAGGGAGATCTAGAATCATCTAAGCGTTAAGTTAAGCTGGACTAGCCAATGGGAAAACAAAATGAGGATGCCGGGGAGATATTTCCAGAAGAGAAGCATTCCTAATGGGCTAGGCCCTAGTCACATGCAGTTCCCCAGATGTGGTTGGTGTGGCCAAGGTTCCGGCATGTGACGGCTGCCTTCCTGGCACTTCCCGTGCTGTGAGGAGCATCCCCTCCCCAGTGCCAGGACAGTGGTCCTCTCACCCCCTTCAGAGTAAAGGGCCAGCAGTTGGCAGTCTCAGGAAAAGTAGTGAGACAGGAAGGTGAGGAGCATGAAGTGCCACCATCCCAGCCTCCAGTGTCGGGTACAGAATATGACGAGGAACCTCCGTGAATTGGAATCTTCCATATCTTCACACATGTGAGTTTCTGCTAGGTATAATTTGACTTATAAAAAGAAAGAAATATGACCTTCTTGCATGTAAATATTGTAGAAGAGTTAATGATTGTAACCTGGATGTTTTAAATTCTGAGATGCTATTAAATCGATATTCATCACAAATGTATTGATAATTTTTTAGAAGAACAGAAGAGATCTCATCATATTTAATGCAGTGGATCAATTGGAAGATGCAGGTTAATTCCAGAAAAAGTAAAGCATAAAAAAAAAATCTGTCTTAGAATGGAAAATACAGTAAACTATTTTTAACTAGAATTTAAATGCAACATTTTAGGATATGAAGCCATCAAATCATTTTGAAAACTACTGGCTCAGATGACCTCAGTGATAGGAAACCTCTAAAAGATCACGAATCTAATAATGAGATAATTTTCTGTGTCTTTGCCTGAGAGTCTGTCTGAAAGTGGTGCAGTTTTTACACAAGAGGAATAACATGTCCCAGACTGAGAGCACTTCACGGGCCACCATTCTGGGCAGTGCTTCAGTGTGGAGTTTTAGCAGTGAGTATTCAGAAACAGTTGAATAATTTGCACTTTTTATAAAAAATATTATCTTGTCTATTTTTCTTTAAATATGCAGCAGAAGCTTACTATTATACAACTAAATTATGTGGGTTCTCTAATTGCCCACTTATTCTACCTTGATTAACATGTGGTTTATTTCACCTTGATGCTTTTAAAGACAAGCATGTGCTGTGTGAGGGTTAGAACATGAGCCATAAATAAGGAGGCTTGAGATGGCAGCGCCTCCCCAAAAATGCAGTACCCCAGGGCCTGCACAGGGAACACTGCTTGGAACCTTAACACTTCTGAAATGGCTGGACATCTCTGCATGAGCTGTGCTTACCCAGTTGTTCCATTTATTCTTATATTTTACAAGTATTTACTCAATTCTTGAGCTAGGCCATGTGGTCTACCAAAGGAATAAGACATCTGTTGTTATTATTTTATTTTATTTTATTTTATTTCAATAGTTTTGGGGAACAGGTGGTTTTGGTTAAATGCTAAAGTTCTTTATTGATGGTTTCTGAGATTTTGGTCCACCCATAGCCCAAGCAGAGTACAATGTACCCAATGTGTAGGGTTTTATCCCTCACCTCCCTCTCACCTTTCCCCCTAAGTCCCCAAAGCCCACTTATCATTCTTAGGCCTTGGAATCATCATCATAGCTTATGTCCCACTTATAAGTAAGAACGTACAGCGTGGAGGTTAGGTCAGCAGAGGGCTACAGGGGACTGGTGGGGCAGGCCAGGACATAAAAGAGGGCCTAGAGCCAGAGTTACCTGGGAGAGGGTGGACCCATTTTGCCAAGCACCCTAACCCTAAAAGCTGTAATCCTTACCCTTAACCCCAACCCTAACCCTAAACCTTAGCCCTAACCTTTAACACCTTACCATAACCCCAACCCTAACCCCTAACCATAACCCTAAAATGCTAACACTAAAACCCTAACCCCTAACACTAAACCCTAATCATAAAACTAAACACAACCCCAACCCCAGCCACAATCCCAACCCCAGCCCCAAGCCTAACCTTAACCCTAACCCCTACCCCCAGCCTTTCTTACCTTTTACATCTGTCCAGATTCTCCAGTAGAAGCAGGGACCCTTGGTTCCCAGGTGTGCACCACTGCATCTGGCACAGGACTCCGTATCAGTCCCCAAACAAGCACCTGAATGCTCACAGTGCAGCCATGCAGTGGAGGCCCAGGGTGTATTCTCACCTCCAGAACCAGGACCCAGCGCCTGCGTCAGGCTCATCAGGGCTGAAGTGAGCTGTGGCACCCAAGGTCTTCGTAAGACCAAGGCCACGTTGTGCCTCCTATCATGGAGCGAGATGCAGCAGCCTTCAAAGTCAGGGGCCCTTCCCTGATGACACTCCAAGCACAAAATACTGGACTTTCACACAATGAGGCTGCACACATTATTCTGTTTAAATCCCCACCTAGGCCACTGGGAGAAATGGTGATAGAGGGACCCTCGTGTTGCCCTGTGGTATACATGCTCTGGTTCATACAACTGCAAGCCATTTACAAGAAACTCAAGCTGAAACGCTACTTGTTTCCAACTTCTTGTTTGCAGGGGATTTACAATTTACACTCCAAAACAGACAGCCACAGAGCACACTACTTTTCCTCTGAAGTCGCTCTGAGGGCCTCCGCATCAGTCCTAGAACTGGAAGATTGGTGGACAAGAACTGGGATGTTGATGGGGCACTGGATACTTGCTGGACACCAACCTCCTCTCACCTAACCTTACAGACGGCCCAGATCTCACCTGCCCAAATCAGACATTTTAACACACACAGCTCTCAACAGCAGGACTTACAGACACAAAACTCCAAAGTAAAGGATTGGCTCAACTCCTTGGTGTCTCAACGAACTAAAACACTGCCTAGCACAGGTGCACCATCAACCTTATTCACTAAATAAACCTCTGTATATTTTATTCATCTTTGATTGTGGAAATGATATAATGAACAAAAAGATGTTTTATAAATTGGATTAAAGACCTTTGAGGTCTCTTCACAGGATCCTATATGGTGGACCCCCAAATCTGCCAACACAGAGAAGTCATTCGTAAACACGTGCAGGGCAGAGGCCAGACAAAACCACCTCTCTCAGCCTCAAAGTGGCCTGGCAGTCACAGGAACGGCCATGTGGGGTCTGGCCTATACAAGGAAGTCAGGCTTTTGGTTTGAGGCACCCTACCGCACCACAAAACCAAGTTCTGCCTAACAAAGAAAAAACAGCCCACTCACTCTCCCTAATATCCCAGGTGGTAATCTAACAGCAATATCTGCTTGACACCCCTCCTGCTCCACCCTCCACAACCAAGCTATCACCAAGGCCCCAGCAATCCTACCTCCTAAATGTCTCTCAAATCCACTTCTCTCCCTTCGGAGTCCAGGCCACCAGCATGACTTCTGCATGTGTGTAGCAGCCTCCTCGCAGGATCTAAAAATGCAAATCTAGTCATAGGCTCTGTGAAAAGAAAATCTTGGGGCCCCAAGATTACTAAGCTAAAGGAAAAAGTCAAGCTGGGAACGGCTCAACGCAAACCTGCCTCCCATTCTATTCCAAATCACCTATCTCCTCACTAAGATAGGTGCACATTCGATCGCCTCCTTTGGAGAGGCTAACCAGAAACTCAAAACAACGCAACATTTGTCTCTCACCTACCTGTGACCTTGGAAGCCCCCTCCCTGCTTCCAGTTGTCCCCACCTTTCTGGATGGAAGCAAGGTACTTCTGACATGTACTGACTGATGTCTCATGTCTCCCTAAAACCAAGCTGTGCCCTGACCACCTTGGGCACTTGTCGTCAGGATCTCCTGAGGCTGTCACGGGTGCACATCCTCAACTTCGGCAAAATGAACTTTCTAAATCACCTGAAACCATCTCAGATGGTCAGGGTTCACGGCTCCCTTTCCCGAACCCTCCCAGGAGCCCCTCGTGGGCGCCCAGGTCTGCGTGCTGTTGTGGCCCAGGCTCACCTGGAGCAACTCGACTCTTCCTTACAGCCTCATGAACCTTTCAGTTCCTAAAGCTGCTTAGCCTGTGAAAGGAAAATGAATCTGAGGGCCCAAAAATCACTAATCTAAAGGGAAAAAAGCTGGGAACTGCTTAGGGCAAACCTGCCTCCCCTCCCCTTCTAGTCAAAGTCACCCCTCTGCTCACTGAGATAAGTGCGTATCTGATGGCCTCCTTTGGGGAGGCTATGAAACCCAAAAGAGGCCGGAGCGGTGGCTCGAGCCTGTAATCCCAGCACTTTGGGAGGCCGAGACGGGCGAATCACGAGGTCAGGAGATCGAGACCATCCTGCCTAACACGGTGAAACCCCGTCTCTACTAAAAAATACAAAAAAAACTAGCCGGGCGAGGTGGCGGCGCCTGTAGTCCCAGCTACTCGGGAGGCTGAGGCAGGAGAATGGCGTGAACCCGGGAGGCGGAGCTTGCAGTGAGCTGAGATCCGGCCACTGCACTCCAGCCTGGGCGACAGAGCAAAAAAAAAGAAAAAGAAAAAGAAACCCAAAAGAATACAACAGTTTGTCTCTCACCTACCTGTGACCTGGAAGCCCCCTCCCTGCTTCGAGTTGTCCCGCCTTTCCCGACGGAACCAACGTTTATCTTACATATATTGATGTCTCCTGTCTCCCTAAAATGTATAAAACCAAGCTGTGTCCCGACCACGTTGGGCACATGTCGTCAAGACCTCCTGAGGCTGTGTCACGGGCGTGCGTCCTCAACCTTGGCAAAATAAACTTTCTAAATTGACCGTCTCAGATATTCGGGGTTCACAAGCCCATGCATGGGGACGTCCCCTGGGGTAGCGCCCCTCCTCCACTGAGCTCACTCGCGTCCTCCTCGTGCGTTTTCTTCAGAAGAAATTTCACAGCTACTTGGTCCACACCTGTCGGCCCTACAGGAGCCGCCATTCTCCACAGGCACACAGGCGGCGTACCTGCTGGGCTGTGCGGAGAGGACCAGGTTCGTCTCCTAATTCCCGCTCAGTTAATAACAAATGTCGACAAGTCGAGAAATTTGCTCAAATTTACCCCATCAAATAATTAAAAATGGAGAAAGCTGGACCTGCGCCCCCCACCGCTGACGTGCTCACCCCTCCACTCCCTCTAGGCTGGCGGCACCCACTGAGCCCTCAGTACCAACCACACCCACAGCCGGGAGACGCAGCGCCGCATTTCGCCGCATGCGCACTCCCTGCGGCCCTCCCGCCAGGCGCCGCGCTGGGCAACCCGCGCCCCAGCGGGGTCCTTCAGGCCTTCGGCCGGGCAGCCTCCCTCGGGGTCCTTGCGTGGTTGCGTAGCAGCTGCGAGGACGCGGGCCGAGCCGGAAGCAGAGTGCGCTGCAGCGCGAGCGGGGCCGGCGGGCGTGGTTTGAGACCGCGCCGAGTCCAGGCGGGCGGCAGGGCCCGAGGGGCCGCTGGCCGCGGGCAGGCGACCTGCAGCGTCCCTGGTCTCTCCAGCCCTCACTCGGGACCGCACGTGAGGGCAAATCCGCCCCGGTGGCCGGCTTAGCACGCAGGATCAGCCCCTCAGAGGCCGCCCTAGGCGTCTGGGTGGGAGGGTGTCCCGGTCGGGGGAAGGACGGAAAGGTGGCTTCGCGAGGCTGTTGTGGGGGGCGGGACGGGCAGCCTGGCGATGCATGGACATGGTTGGTGCCCAAAAACATTTATCGAAAGATAGCTTGCCCACTTAGATCGCGAGGACAGCGACAACCAAGTCTTCGCCCGTAAGCGGGCTCACGACTGTAGTCCCAGGGATGCCAAGGAGGGAGGATCGTTTGAGTCCAGGAGTTGGGGGCTGCAGTGAGCCGTGATCGCGCCACTGCACTCCAGCCTGGGCGACAGAGTGAGACCCTGTCTCTAAACAAAAGAAAGAACCTCTTCAAGCGTGGAGCCGTGCAGCTGGATTTGGCTTTCTGTCGCTCTCTCTACAGGGTACAGGTGAAAGGGGGCAGACCCCTCACCATGCTTTCCAAGCATCTGCCACTTCCCAGGAATTGTGTCCCTGGATAAACAAGGCGAAGTCCCTGGCTGTGCAGAAGCAGTAGCTGTGTGGTGGCACAGTCAGGAAAACTCGGGGGCCCTGTTGGTATTTTCTACCCCTGACCCGTGTGCATACTTCTGTCGTAGCTCTTACCACAGTAGACTCTGCTATCATTGTGTCTTACATCCCCTGAACCCTGTGCAACGTCTGCTCATGGTGAATGCTCAGTAAGGTTCACCTATTGCTGCTATCTCGTCATCATATCATTTCTATGTGCCCACCTAGCTAAGAGTCTGGACTGTGATTACATTCTCAGGAATGTTTGCAAAGTCATATTTAGGTGTGAGGAGAGTAGAACAGAGCTAGAGATTATGTTGTACACAGCCTTTGGCACTGGATGCCTGGTGAATGTCTTGCGCAAATGGGTAATGTGAGGAGCAGCATTTGGGGTGCGCAGGACTTAAAGTATTTGTGTATAACATGTTATTGATGCCTGTGTGTCATACTCTGCTACTCCAAGTCTAGTAGTCAATTGCATACCATATCTGAGTCCAGCACTGAGGGAAGCAGTCTAGATGGAGGTACAGCGGGGTATAATCAGCATTTAGGAGATACTTGAAACTAGTAAAGGTTGAAACACCACTGGAGAAGGGGGTTAGGGGAATTGCACGTGTTGAGAGAGGGAGAGGCAGGTACAGATTACAGTAGGATGGAAAATGAAGGGGAGGTAAGAGGCATGAAGAAGACAAAGGATCACAAGTGTGGGTCAGGCATATTTGGCTGTGTGTCAGTGTCATTCAGTGGTGAGAGGTCAGGCTTTCTGGCAGACAGTGTCTCATGTCAACCATGTGACTGGGCACTGTTTTTGTGTGTCTGTGTGTGTGTGTTGTTGTTTTTTTTTGTCCCTGTTTTACAAGTAAGGAAACTTTTGTATGTTGAACTTGTAAATACAGGCCGGACACAGTGGCTCATGCCTGTAATCCCAGCACTTTGGGAGGCCGAAATGGGCAGATCACTTGAAGTCAGGAGTTCGAGACCAGCCTGGCCAACATAGTAAAACCCTGTCTCTACTAAAAATACAAAAATTAGTTGGGCGTGATGGGAGGTGCCTGTAATCCCAGCTACTGGGGAGGCTGAGACAGGAGAATCACTCAAACCTAGTAGGCGGAGTTTGCAGTGAGCCAAGATCGCGCCACTGCACTCCAGCCTGAGTGATAGAGCAAGACTCCATCTCAGAAAAAAACAAAAAAAAGAACTTGTAAATACAGAATGCTGTCTCTCCAGGTGGTCGTGGGAGGTGTGACCTTAAGCATACCCACAATAGGAATATATCATAGGGAAAACCACTCTAAGAGAATCTTGTGGGTACAAGGTTACAACCCCAAGGCTCAGCATGTGGCAGGCAAGTTGGTGGTGAATGGAGAAGGGTGTGAGCGTATTCTTGGACCCCTCTCTCATTGGCTCATTGTCTCTCCTGTCCAGGAAGAGAAGGAAATAAATTTGGTTGAGGGGACTTATCTCTGACAACATCCTCTTGTTGATCTTCCCACATAGTGACAAGACCCTCCCCTCCCCTGGGCTGGACCCCTCTCTACAGCTGGGAGCCAATGGCAGAAGACAGAACCAAACCCAGTGAGCTGGACCAAGGGAAGTATGATGCTGATGACAACGTGAAGATCATCTGCCTGGGAGACAGCGCAGTGGGCAAATCCAAGTATGTTGAGAGATTAGGGAAGAAATATCAGCCCCAGAGAGGGTCTGGGGCATTTAAAAAAGTCCTCCAGAGGCAGAGGAGCATGACTTCTTGGGGCTGGTGAAGGAGCAGTCTTGGCTGGAGTCCAGATGTTCATGGAGGAACGAGGGGAATCACGAGAGCAGTTGTGTGTGTTGGGTGGAGGGGGCAGGTCATAAGGACTGAGGAATTTGAGTGTTTCCTCTGAGCCCTGAGAGAACATGTGGAGCAACTAAGGACATTGTATGTGGTTTGTGGGCTGAGGGATGGCAAGGGCGGGGAGTGGGAATGGAAAGAGAAAAGTGACTATGCCACCGTGACAGATTGGGTAAAGGTGGTGAAGATGCTTTCTTGGAGGGACTCTCTGAGATAGAGAAAACTGGGTAGAACTGACCATTGACTATAATCATTGTGAAGATTGGCTTCTTCTTTTAATGAATTTCGGTGCCTACATGCCACCCGGAGAGGTGAAGGGAGGCTCTGCGGTGCTGGCGGCTTGTCTCCATGAGACGTCCTATTTCTCACACCTACGACTGGTGAGGGCACATGTCCATTTCTGCCTTCATGGCATGAGGGTACACTTGCCCCTGCCCAGAGAACTGGTTACGCTTATTTCCCAAGTACTCCAGGCCCACCTTGTTTTCTACCTTCATTTTTATAAACATGTTCTTTGACTCAGGTAGCTGTGAATAGTTCTCTGGGGGCTTTGCTGGTTTTTAGGCCATCTCCATGAATTTGAATTCTTTCTCTCTCCCTCTCTCTCTCTCTCTTCCCCACCACACAATCACACACTGCAGCTCTGGTTTAGTTTTTTTGTTTGTTTGTTTGTTTGTTTGTTTTGAGACGGAGTCTCGCTCTGTCCCCCAGGCTGGAGTGCAGTGGCGTGATCTCAGCTCACTGCAACCTCTGCCTCCTGGGTTCACGCCATTCTCATGCCTCAGCCTCCTGAGTAGCTGGGATTACAGGCGTGTGCCACCATGCCTAGCTAATTGTTTTGTATTTTTAGCACAGGTTTTGCCATGTTGGCCAGGCTGGTCTGGAATTCCTAACCTCAAGCGATCTGTCTGCCTTGGCCTCCCAAAGTGCTGGGATTACAGGTGTGAGCCACCGCACCCAGCCAACAAGACGTGGCTTTCTGATTCCATCTTTAAGAGTAGTTAGGTCCACATGTATTGTCTTTTTTCTTTGATAGCTGTATAACTTGGCCTTTAGGGTCTTCCATTCCTGTTAATAATTGCCTATCATCGTTGTGCAAAGAGGGCACAGGCACACACCCCCACCCCCAACTAAGGCCACATGGTGTGAGTACAGAGTAGGGTGATGGGGGAAATTTGCAAGCAGAAAAGTCACAGCATGTGACTCCCAGGGTCCCAAGCTCTCATTATCCTGAGGGAGTTGTGCTTAGGCCGACAGTGACCAGCGCCTGCTCTAAATATTTTTGGGAGAAGAAGACAGGGAGCATCTGTGTATGTGGCAGAGAGGTAGCTTCCTAGAGCCCCCGAAGGTAGGGCCTGCTCTGTTGTTGAGCTCAGGCCTGCCAAGCTGGTTCTCTGCTAAGCGGCAGAATGCTGGGAGGGAATGAGTCTCCGGGGCTTATTTTTTCTCCTTCATCCTGTCTTCCAGAGGCAACTTTTCCTTAAGAAAATCCCTCTGTGCCTGTGTTTTTATCCTTTCACTGCTTCTGCTTTGATGAGGCAAGTTTATGGGTCTCTCCTCTTCCTCCTCCACCTCCTGAGCACGTGCCCTCTCAGGACAGCGTTCTGAGCTTGGGTCTCTTTCATTTACCAGCTTAACCTCTGGCTGCGGAAATTTCTTTGTGTAATTTTCTATGTCATCTAAGAAGATGATGTGTTTTCTTTATAGTAAGGGTACTGTTTCTTTATAGTTATAAATAAAATCTATCCTCCTTTTACAAGTGAAGCTGCAGTTTACAGTCAGAAGTATAAAATCACGGTTAGAGTGTACTACGCTGACAAACAGGCAAGCAGTGACCCTACAAAACTTGAGGGAAAAAATGTTGCTATGTAAAGAGAGTGGTCAGGGAAGGCCTAGTTGTAAAGGTGACATTGGGTCAAAGACTTGAAAAAAGCAAGGAGTAAGCCTTGCAGATATCTGGCAGGAACATTTCAACAACAAAAGGAGGAAATGGCCAGTGGCTAGAACAGAGGGAGAGAAAAAGAAATGGGAGAGTTTGAACTGAAAGAAATGGGGAACCACTGGATGGTTTTGCACAGAGGAGTGACAAAGTCTGCCTAATTTTTTAACAGAATAACTGACCGCATTCAGAATAGATAGTCCTCTCAATAACCAATAGATCAAGCAGGTTCTCTTGTCTCAGCCTCCCGAGTAGCTGGGATTACAGGCATGTGCCACCATGCCCGGCTAATTTTTTGTATTTTTAGTGGAGACAAGGGCTTCACCATGTTGACCAGGCTGGTCTTAAACTCCTGACCTCAAGTGGTCCACCCGCCTTGGCCTCCCAAAGTGCTGGGATTACAGGCGTGAGCCACTGTGCCCGGCTGGGAAATGGCTTTTGAACGGAAGGCACAGCCTTGGCCTGGCCTCTGTTTCCCTGTGCATAGCACAAGGGTAATGGTATGTGCAGCACTGTGCTGTGGTGACAATAACAGATTTGAGAGCTTCACATGGGCTGGTGTGTGTACTCCTAGTGACATGAGCTGTTTGGTTATGACGGGTTGGTAATGCTGATTCCCAGGTTCCAGACTTGACCCGGAAACTGTGTGACTGTGGAGCGAAAAGGGGAAACCACAGGTGGCTTCCAGGCTGTCAGCCTTAGGGCGATAAAGTTTGGGACAAGGGAGAGATGGACACCATCTGACCGCCTTGCCTGTTCTGCTTTCAGACTCATGGAGAGATTTCTCATGGATGGCTTGTATCCTTCAAGGTTTGAAATACCCCTCTTTCCTGTGGGTCTTCCCACGCTCATGTATCAGTGCCCCACTGCCCACCACTTTGTAGCAGCAGCCCAGGAAGGAGGATTGGGTAAGTGAATGCACAGGTTTTGTTCCACACTTGTTTCTTGCCGGTTGATCCACATGGCATTGCACAATCAGTGCTGTGTATTTTGGAGCTTACTCATATTTGGATTTGTTTTATATTAAGAGGGCAGTAGAATGGCAGGCAGCAAATGGTTTGGATCTAATGCCTGGATTCAAACCCCGCCTCCTTCTCCTCCTTAGTAGCTTCCGACACTGGCCAACTCATTTAACCTCAAAGCTTGGGCCCCCTACTGTTGAAAAACATCTCTGATATGAATGAACTTTGTAAAATAGGAGCTGCCAGCCCCACCTTCCCCCCATGAATTGTTATATTGTATAGGTTTGGAGTGAGTTCCTCCCTGCAACTGGGAGATTTTTAAACAGTTTCCCAAGTGGATCCACTGAAAACCACAGGTGAGACGAGCCCCTGGAGCCTGCTGCTCCCTGTCCTATGCTCAGCACCCCAACGCTCAGTTGCCTTAAGATCTGAGTATGTGTTACTCCACCTCGTACCAAGTGCTTCTGCACACCCAGCCCACCTGCAACATTTGGCTCTGCTTTTTACACTGTCCCGCTTCTTGCAGCCTCAGAAGGTGTTTATCCCCAGAGTTTAACCCTTTTTCTCAGGGTTTCACACATAGGCAGACTCCAAATTGGTAGACGGCTTGTCAGCTGTAAGGCTTGTGGGAGCTTTTGTCCCTGGAATGGTCATGTTGCTACCTAGGGTCAGGGTTGCCTTTCCAGCCTGCGAAAGCTCCATCAGTGATTGAGTTGGGGTTTCCACATTTGCATTTTCCAACTGCATGATGCCCTTTATGACGCTTGTCTGTAAAATCCTGTTCTGCGCTTTACCTCAGACTTCGATGACCAGAACACACTCCCATCTCCTCCCACCCCTCACTCTTCTTCCGTGGAGCTTGTACCAGTGATATGCGAGGCTGATCCTGTCTGCAACACTGGTATGATTTAAAATCTCAGTAACTCCAAAGAGAAGAGGAGGGAGAGGATCCATTTCATCAAACCAAACACCCCTGCTCCCCACTCCTTCCTTACCTCCCCTTTTATTGATTTTGGTCCTTAACCTGAGTGCAGTCAGCCACAGCAGCTGTCCACGTACGCCCTGACCCTCTACAAGCACACAACCACGGTAGATGGCAAGACCATCCTTGTGGGTAAGTGGCACAGGGCCAAGCCACGCTGACCCTCAGGAAAGAGGAAATGGGAGACGAGGGGAGGTGAGGGAAGGTTCATAAGGAGAGAGTCCAGAGGGAGAAAATGAGACCCCAGGCAGGGATAAGGGGTGGTAGAGAGAACCCAGAGAGTCAGGAGCCAGGAAGCTGTGGAGGGTGGAAGGAGGCACGCAGGGGCCAAGTCCCAGCCCTCTGACCTGGCGTCCAGGGCGGCACCTGTGCAGGACAGGGTTCAGGAAAGGAGAAGTCAGGGGGCTGTACCCACCTCAGGGAAGAAGAACATGAGAGGCCTTCGACAAGGCAGTAGCTTGCCTAGCTTCAGGGGTTCTTATTCAGCCGGTTTAAAAAAGTAAATGTGGTCAGAACATTATCTACCACATCGGGCTTTGACCTTCCGTCGGGTCATAATCTTCTCCTTGGCCAGGCCACACAGCCTGCCTGACTCTGTCTACCATCTGTGGTCAGCGCACGTGAGAAGTTGGACTAGTTTAGAACTTAGAGGACCCTGCATATCATGTGGGAAACGGGGAACCTATCTTCTCCCTCCTTGGGCTTCCAGTGTATGTTGTCCTTCCTCCTGGCCCCTAACCCATGGTCTTCCCATAAAACAGGTGAACACACACCTCTCTCATCACTCAGGCACACTGTGTCGAAGACACACGCGTGGGGCTCTGTGGTCTGTTTCTCCCTGTGCTCCCCGTGTACTCACACACGTGCTGTGCTTTGTGCCACATGTGTGTCGTATTTTAGTGACTTGCACAGAAATGTACCAGGCATGTGGGTCTCTGTGATCTCCAGCCCCCAACAGGCAGTCAGAGCTGTGTTCACGTTGCAGACTTTTGGGACACGGCAGGCCAGGAGCGGTTCCAGAGCATGCATGCCTCCTACTACCACAAGGCCCACGCCTGCATCATGGTACGAGATGGGGTGGAGGTGGACAAAGGCACTGGGCAAGTCTGGCCTGAGGGGTGAGGGGCCTAGCAGCCCTGGGCCCTCTTAACCAAGTCTGGGTGTTGTGGGAGGCGGGGCTCAGGGTCACCCAGGGATGTGTCAAACCACACCTGCTCCCCAGAGCTTCTTAGTGAGAAGGTGCCAGGTGCGCTCTCTGGAGGTGGGGATGGGTGGAGAAAAGGTGGAACAGCAAGCTCAGGGCTTCACCATCAGGTGTAGCATCCAAGAGGCAAACGCGTGCCTGAGACAGGGCCGCAGTCCCTCTGATGGACCCACCCTGTCAGACAAGCTCCCAAGGCCTCCCTCTACTGTTGCCTGCTGCTTTTCCCTAGGGGGCACATGCTGGGACTGAGTAGATGCTGCAGGTCCCAGAGAACCTTCTCTCTCAGGCCAGCCCCTTGCCTCCCTCCGAGCCTCCCATTTTGTTGCCTAGGACGCAGTCCTTACGGTTCCACCCCGGCGGCCAGGGCGTGGTAAGTGCCTGAAATGCAGCCGAGGAAAGGGCTAAGAAAGGAAAAAGCAGCTCTGTAAACCTGTGTCCTATAGAAGTTCCTACCCATGAATTCCCTGGCTTGGTTCTCAGGCCACCACTTGTAGATGCTGAAAAGGAGCATGTTTTTCTTTTGAGCCACTTAAAAAACATTTTCATGGCTGGGCACAGTGGCTCATGCCTGTAATCCCAGCACTTTGGGAGGCCAAGGTGGGTGGATCACCTGAGGTCAGCAGTTTGAGACCAGCCTGGCCAACATGGTAAAACCCCGTCTCTACTAAAAATACAAAAAATTAGCTGGGCGTGGTGGCAGGCGCCTGTAATCCCAGCTACTTGGGAGGCTGAGGCACGAGAATCACTTGAACCCGGGAGGCAGAGGTTGCAGCGAGCCGGATCGCGCCATTGCACTCCAGCCTGGGCAACAAGAGCAAAACTCCATCAAAAAAAAAACCCCACATTTTCGTGAACATCAGCCATCTACAATGCAGGAAGTAATAGACTAGTCTTCGGAATTATTAACCTCGCAATTGTCACCAAGTGAAAACCTTAGTCACTAAAATTTCTTGGAATGGCATTCAAGGTCTTGCTTTAACACAAAACCCCAAAACTTGGTGGCACAAAACAACCATTTTCTGATGGATCGGGGATCCGTCATGTCTGAAGTCTCAGCTAAGAAGACTCCAAGGCTGGGCTCCAGGCTGGAACTGCCTGGGGCATCTCCCTACGCACACACTGGTACTTGGCTGGACCCCCGGCAGGTTCTGCTCCCCGTGTTTCTTCGCAGTTTATCAGTTGGGCCGATTTGGGCTTGCTCACAGAGTGTCAGCCAAGATCCCAAGATCAAGCATCCAAAGAGAACCTGGTGGGACCTGTATTTCCTTTTATAGCCCTGGAAGTTATGTGGCATCTCTCTGGTCATAGTCACAGAGGGAAGAAACAGATGGCATTTCTCAGTGGGGAATCAGAGTCACATGATTAAAAGAACACATGGGATGGACAGGTTGCCACCATTGTTGGCATATATTAATAAAGTCTGCCATGGCACTCCATAGCATTTAGACACCCACCTTTCTAGCCCTACCTCCCACCTAGTGATTGCCTATAAGTATGCACGGCCTTACCTTGGCCCTGAGAGGGATGCATGGCTGAGCAGGTGTCATCTCATCTGTAAGAAGCAATAGCAGAGGGAATCCAGAAGGAGCTGCTCTGTTCTGCTCATTGTCACCTGCTCCTCTGCACACCTTCCTTCATGCTCTTCCCTCAGCCTCTCCCCAGCTCACACCCCTTTACTTGAAACTCTGCTCATTTTTCAGGCCCTGCTTAAATGCCATCACCTCCATGCAGCCTCTTCTGATGTTTGTCATTAGAATTGTTCTTTCCTGTGTGCACCACTGATCACTTCCACAACGTGGATTCTGTCTGTGATGCACATGTGCAGGATGCCAGGAGCGCCAAGGCGGAAAGACACAATGCTGCCCCCAGGAACTTACTGACTGGTGGGCACAGTACAGATTCCAGGGGTGAAGACAGTGAGGATTCTTCCCTTCTGACCCTTTGCAGATGGTAAAGGAAGGAGCTCATCACCTGATTTCCCCCACTGCCCCTTAAGAACAAAATCCCTTGAAACATTCCAAAAGCTTTAACTCTGATAACTGTTAAGGTACTAAACAAGAGGATAATGGGGTAAGGCAAATGGGGCCAGTGTAGTGCAGAAGTCTGACCCTCAAGAACAGAGGAGCTTGGTCCTAGCCAGTTTGGTTTCGGGCCTACTCTGGCATTTGGTATTTTGAGCTCACCTCTCTTTTTCTCTTGGAGTGACTGCTTTCTGCATCTGATGCATCTCCATGGGCTCCCCTCAGACCCTCTTCTGAAGGCCTGGGGTGTCTCGCCTGCCACCAGCCCCAGTCTGCTGCATGGGCCCTGGTGGGTAGAAAGCACTCACCTTCTGACCACACGGGGAGCTGAGGGTCAGACGGAGCCAAGGCTCGACCCTCCACCTTGAAACCTTGAGATGGGGATGCTGCTCATTCTAGCCAGCTCCTCCTCGGCTCTGCAAACAAGGAAAGGGTGCTCAGGAAACCAGACCTGGACAAAAGGCATCTGAGCCTGGTGTGAGGCAGATTCCGGAAGTTTCGTTACAGACATCCTTTATAAGGAGTCTTCCTCGGGAATTCAAGACAACCTGGTGATTCGTTGACATTGGCCTGTGAAAGAGAATCCACATAGACTTCCTGCCACCTCTTGAGGTGTGACAGCTGCTGACCCTCCCACCACCACACAGGGCGAGCCCCTAGCCCTGAGCTTGAACCATGTTCCTTGCACAAATAGCTGGGTGATTTAGAAGTGAGGTCAGCTGTGCCAGCAGTTACAGGGTGGTGGTTGTAACTTTAATCCACTGACTGTGGTACTAGGGCAGTTCGGGCTGGACACTTGGGAGGAGCTCCTGTGAAGGGCACAAAGGCTCACTGTAGCAGCAGCTCAGTTGTCGCTCAGAGTTCTGCCCTTAGAGCTGGTTTGCAGTGCTCATCCTTCTTGCTGATATTTTAAAATAGGTAAAAACAGGCTGGGCACGGTGACTCATGCCTTTAATCCCAGCACTTTGGGAGGCTGAGGTGGGCAGATCACCTGAAGTCAGGAGTTGGAGACCAGCCTGGCCAGCATGGTGAAACCCCGTCTCTACTAAAAATACAAAAATTAGCCGGGCGTGGTGGTGCGCACCTGTAATCCAGCTACTCAGGAGGCTGAGACGGGAGAATCGCTTGAACCCAGGAGGTGGAGGTTGCAGTGAGCCAAGACAGCACCACTGCACTCCAGCCTGGGCAATAGAGCAAGACTCCATCTCAAAATAAATAAATAAATAAAAATAGGTAAAAACAATAAATTATAAAAATGTAATACAATTATGAAATACAAATAATAAAACATAAAAATTTTAAAAAGTTTAAAGAGGCCAGTCACAGTGGCTTATGCCTATAATCCCAGAAATTTGGGAGGCCGAAGCAGGAGGGTCACTTGAGCCCAGGAGTTCAAGACCAGCCTGGTTAATATAATGAGACCTCATCTCTACAAAAAATATACAAAATTAGCCAGGCATGGTGGCATGTGCCTGTAGTTCCAGCTACTCAGGAGGCTCACCCAAGCCCAGGGAGTCTAGGGGGCAGTAAGCCAAGATTGTGCCACTGCACTCCAGCCTGGGTGACAGAGTAAGACCCTGTCAAAAAACAAAAACAAAAAGCAGAAAGAACAAAGAAGTAAACAGAAGCTTAAAATTAAAAGTAAATCAGCCAGGTGCAGTAGCTCATGCCTGTAATCCCAGTACTTTGGGAGGCCTAGGCAGGCAGCTCACTTGAGGTCAAGAGTTCAAGACCAGCCTGCCCAACATGGCGAAACCCTGTCTCTACTAAAAACATAAAAACTAGCCAGACATGGTGGCGCACGCCTGTAGTCCCAGCTACTGAGGAGGCTGAGACAAGAGAATCACTTGAACACAGAAGTCAAAGGTTGCAGTGAGCTGAGATTATGCCACCACACTCCAGCCTGGATAACAGAGTGAGACTCCATCTAAAAAAAGAAAAGAAATCAAGGCCTGTTGTGGCTAACACCTGTAACCCCAGCACCTTTAGAGACCCAGGTAGGAGGATCCCTTGAGGCCAAGAGTTTGAGATGAGCCTGGGCAACATAGGGAGAGCCTGCCTCTACAAAAAAAATAATTTAAGAATTAATGGGTGCATGCTACTTGGGAGGCTGAAGTAGGAGGATCCCTTGAGCTGAGGAGTTTTGAGGTTGCGGTGAGCTGTGATTGAGCCACTGCATTCTAGCCTGGGTGACAGAGGGAAACCCTGTCTCTAAAAAGTAAAAAATAAAAGTAAATCAATAGTAACTAAAGTAAAACTCTAGAAATATTTACAGCTACTACAGAGGAAGTTTAAAACAGTTTAAGCAATAAATATAAGAGTAGACTAAAAAACACGGAAGTTTACAATTTCTAACAGACTGTATCAATTGGCAAATTGATTCAATTTATGATTGTTAAAATAGGTGAATAAGATTAGATGACAAGATAACAAAAAAGGAATCTGTTATTTATTTATTTATTTATTTATTTTGAGATGGAGTATTGCTCTTGTTGCCCAGGCCAGAGTGCAATGGCATGATCTGGGCTCACTGCAACCTCCGTCTCCCTAGTTCAAGCAATTCTCCTGCCTCAGCCTCCCAAGTAGCTGAGATTACAGGCATGCGCCACTGCGCCCAGCTAACTTTTTGCATTTTTAGTAGAGACAGAGTTTCACCATGTTAGCCAGGCTGGTCTCAAACTCCTGACTTCAGGTGATCAGCCCGCCTCAACCTCCAAAAGCGCCGGGTTTACAGATGTGAGCCACCACAACGAGCCAATAATAAGATTTTTAAAAACATTTTTGCATCTGGAGACCCCAGGGGGCTTCCCCGAGAAAGGACAGCCTCTGTGGTCAGAGAGGCTGCAATTCAGAGCATTCCCACAGACAACGCCATGTGCTCATGCTCACCTGCTTAGGTGTGTGAGTGAGTCACCTGGAGATGCGGTGCAGAAACATTGACACCTGAGCTATCTTTCTTCCTCTGCCCTTTGCAGGTGTTTGATGTACAGAGGAAAGTCACCTATAAGAACCTGAGCACCTGGTACATGGAGCTTCGGGAGTTCAGGCCAGAGATCCCATGCATCGTGGTGGCCAATAAAATTGATGGTGGGGCCATCCCTGCACCTGGGTGTTAGCAATTCACTGGGGACCCACCACCACACGTTTCCTCCCCCATTCCTGGGGCAGGCAGCCTTCAGTGATTGTTCCTCCCTCCCACGATAAGATATGACCCTTGGTTACTTGCGTTCTTCCCGCCTTATAAAGAAGCCAGCTAAGCCAGCCTGCCCTCTTCCCAAGACACAGATCCCTATTAACTGAACTCTCTAGGACATGTTTCCTAATCATCCCTGCCTATCCCACTTTCTGGAATGAAGGCCTCCAGTGGCCCACCCTCCAAACCCTCTTCCCTTCCCTTGACAGACAGACCAATGTCCTACCTTCTCTCTACAGCAGACATAAACGCGACCCAAAAAAGCTTCAATTTTGCCAAGAAGTTCTCCCTGCCCCTATATTTTGTCTCCGCTGCTGATGGCACCAACGTTGTGAAGGTATGGTCGACTGCAGAGGTAGCAAGGCCAGGGTGCTAGGTGGTAAAGGGAAGCTGTGAAGAGAAGGGCTTACTGCAGGTGTGATGGAGAGAATGGGAACAGTGCATGGGCATGGGTGGCAGGGAGGGGAGAAGCTGATGGGCCTGGACTTGATGAGGCGGAAGTCCATTGACCATACATAGGTCAGGGTGATGGGGAGAGGCAAATGGAAAGGTGAGGTTGCTGATTTTAGGAATGGAGTATTGTGTAGTCTCACAGTGGGGCCAGTGGGGTGAACTGGGCAGAGTCCAAGGCACTCCCATCCACCATCTCTACCTCACCCCCAACTCTTCAGTGATGCAATTTGATTAGCTGTGTCTCTACCTCACCCGCAGCTCTTCAATGATGCAATTCGATTAGCTGTGTCTTACAAACAGAACTCCCAGGACTTCATGGATGAGATTTTTCAGGAGCTCGAGGTAGGTCAGGCCCACATTTCGGGTGGGATGGAAGAAACGGCTTCTCTTCAGGGATAGGGACTACAACGCAGTGGAGTGGCTCTCGCCTAACTTTGCCCCACTAAATGTCTCAGAGCTGCGGCTGAGCAAACGTAGGGCCAGGCCTCACCTGCAACCTTGTCCACAGAACTTCAAGTTGGAACAGGAAGAGAATGTGCCAGACCAGGAGCAGAACAGCAGCATCGAGACCCCATCAGAGGAGGCGGCCTCTCCCCACAGCTGAGGGGCTGGGGCTAGGGGTGGGTGGAGCCTTTTTAAAGTACCCTTCCCTTCAACAGCTCTCCAGCTCTGAATGGAGGAACTCTCTAGGCCATCCCCTCTTCTACCTCCTGCAGCCCATCCATCCTATTAGCCTCCCACATTCAAGGCCCTTAATGCAGGGATGAGGTCAGCACCAGCAAACTCTGGACTGGTGGAAGAAGGTCCTCACCAGATCTCCTTGAAGCAGAATTAGGGATCAGTATCATTAACACCTTCCCCACCCCCTCCCCCCAGGCGGGCAGTGAAGAGAATCAGAAAACATGATTATGTGTCACTTTAATAAAGGAAATTTAGGTGTTTTTCGTTTTTTTGTTTGTGTTTTTTTCCTTTCCAAAGCTCACCTCAGGGACAATTCCTTGTGCTTCTGCCAAGGTAATGATTAACCCCCACCCACAGCTGAATCTGTGAGACCCCATTCTTTCCCTATGTGGTCTCCCATCTGTTTTCCTCTTCATTCTCCCAATCATCTGGTTGGTTGGTTGGTTTGTTCCTTTGGAGACAGAGTCTCGCTCAGAGTCGCCAGGCTGGAGTTCTGTGGCGCAATCTCAGCTCACTGCAACCTCTGACTCCCTGGTTCAAATGAATCTCCTGCCTCAGCCTCCCGAGTAGCTTGGCATCACCACACCCAGCTAATTTTTGTATTTTTAGTAGAGACGGGATTTCACCATGTTGCCCAGGATGGTCTTGATCTCCTGGCGTGATCTGCCCCCCTCGGCCTCCCAAAGTGCTGGGATTACAGGCGTGAGCCACTGCACCCAACCCCAGTCATCTGTTTTTAAACAAATATTTTTGAGCAGACAGCTATTCATTCCAGATTTCTGTGTACCCACGCTGTTTCAGGAGCTCTTCTAGGTAAAGCTGAGATCACAGGAACATTAGAGTTAAGTAAAAGCAGGTGACAGGCTTAGCTATAGTTAGGAATACACAAGCTTTGTTGGTAAAATCCAGAGTCCTTACAGCCACACCACAAGGTACATCCATTTGAACTATAAGAAGCGCTTCTTTTAAAGTTCCTATTTCAGCATAAAGAGGCTGTCCTTTTTTTTTTTTTTTTTTTTTTTGGAGGAATAGTTTTTACCTCGTGCCTCCTGTGGGAGGCTGAGGACTGCAAGAGGAGAACTAGCAGATACGCCTGCTCACCCCTCTCTGGTACTTGTGGCTTGCTAGTATGTTGTTATTACAATCTCGGGCATTGTTTGCATTGTGTTTATTAATAGGGTTTTGTTTTTACTGTTTCCGTTTTTACAGTAAAGGCTGAATTACATAAACATTGAGTAAATGTATGTGCTTTGTGGCTCCGAAGTGTGTACTGAGCAAAAAGACAAAAGAATCTGCAAATCATCACCCTTATCAATGAGGGGTGGCTGCCTTGACCTGTTGCAGGGTAGCCCGTGTTTACTCTCAATTCACTATCATGGAGGCCATTTCAGTGGAATTTAGTGTTTTCAAAAGAACTGAATTACCTGTTAATTTGGGAGCTCAAGAACAAGCACATTTCCCCTTTAAATCAGCAATACTTAGATGTTCAACGTAAGATGTTTGACTTGACCAGGGGTTCCCAGGAATGTATGCCCTGATGAGGTGGAACTTAAAAAAATTTACTTACTGTAGGCCGGGCGCGGTGGCTCAAGCCTGTAATCCCAGCACTTTGGGAGGCCGAGGCGGGCGGATCACGAGGTCAGGAGATCGAGACCATCCTGGCTAACACGGTGAAACCCCGTCTCTACTAAAAAAATACAAAAAAAACTAGCCGGGCGAGGTGGCGGGCGCCTGTAGTCCCAGCTACTCGGGAGGCTGAGGCAGGAGAATGCGGACCGGGGGGGGGGTGGGGAGACGCCGGGGCGGAGTCTTCAGTGGCGTGAGATCGGCCGGGCACGTAACCAGCACTGGGAGGCGGACCGAGGCAGGGAGAACTGCCGTAAACCCAAAAAAAAAAAAAAAAAAAAAAGCCCGGGGAGCTGGAGCTTGCAGAATGAAAAGCATGCTGAGATCCGGCCACTGCACTCCAGCTTGGGTGACAGAGCGAGACTCCGTCTCAAAAAAAAAAAAAAAAAATACAACAGCCTTGCTGAGATAGAATTTACATACTATAAAGTTCACCATCATATTGGTTTTATCTGACTATTTTGTATCAGGTTCCTTAGAAGCTGACCCTGAGAAGGCCATTGTTCAAATGACTTGTTAGGGTCATTCTCAGAAGAGTGAGGCGGGCAGGAGGCAGGAAGCTCAGCAAGGTTGTGGTCTCAGCTGGAGGCCGGCTTCACCACCCCACCCCACCCCATCCCAGGGCAAATTGCCCTACAGAGTTAGTCCTACCTCAAGACCGGGGGCCGTTTGTACCCTTCAGCCAAGGATGTGAGGTGGAAGGGGGCCTTCTGTTTCAGTAAGGTCAATTCTCTGGGGAAAAGGGCAACTGTGTGCTTCCTTCGTCAACACTTAAAGCAATTGGAGGATGAATGTTTAGGCAGGGTGCCAGCAACATCCACAAGCCAGATCCACCTGTTTCTTAAAGTTCATTCCATCCAGGTAGAGCTGCTCTATGGTTCTAACTGGTCACCAGTCCTGGGGGATGTACAAGAGAAGGGTCAATGGGAAAGGATAAACCAGAGCCCCTGCTATTGTAGTTGGACCCCATGCGGAGACTGATACTTGTCACCTCTCATCCTCTGGCTAGCACTTTTGCTGGTCTAGGTTGTTTGCCTGGTGGGTTGATCCTGCTGCTCTTGTCTAAGGGGGTCTGAGCCCCTGCTGACTATGCCTTTATGAGGCAGTGGTTGTTACACTTACATAGTTGTAGCTAGACATGCAAGTTCCAAGAGATAGCATGAACCACCTGAGTACCAAATACATTACTCCCTCCTGTTACTATCTGGCAACATCCTTTCTTCCTAATGATGGTTAGAGACCATCACCTCTTTCCAGAATGCTAACTCTGCTTGCCAGTTTACAAGCGCATGGACTGTCTAGGAAGCAGCCATAGCTTTGTGTTTAGTGAAGCTCTTACTGTATCACTTGGTGGAAATGCCTCCCCTGCTCCCCACACTACCACTCGCAGCGACCAAGACTTCAGCTCACAGAGCCTAAAGCTGTAGACAGGAAGCACAGACTCCCCAGGTGTGTCACTGGGAGTGCTGGTGAGCGGGGCGCTCCTATGTCCACCCCTTGGTTACTAGACATGTTGGGGACGTAAAACCATATGATGAATATTAAGTTGTGTATCACATCATGAAGGACCCCATCCTTACAGGGTATCATCTCCAAGATCGACATCTCCACTCTCCACAAAGACAGGAAAGGCTCAGAAGTGGAGTGACATCAGGAAAACGGCAGAGTAGACAGCTCCAAACCCCTGTCCCTCTACAGAAACGTTGAGAAAAAGCAGCAGAAACTTTGCCCGAACTCTGGAAAATAGTAAAAGACTTACATCAGTCAGGAAAGCACTGAAATGAGGAAGGGCAACTGAAAAGTGACAGGACCGTTGTGTGGCATTTTCACTTGCCCTTGCCTCACCCCTTCGTCAGCTTAATGGTTATCTTGAAGACAGTAGTCCACTTTCCCAATTTAGGACCCAGGTCCCAGGTTCCAGAGGGAGCAAGGCAGACCTTATCCACAAATGACTGCGTTTGTCTATTCTAACTGGTCAGAAACGATCTGAAAGACTAAAACGAGGCATTTGTCTGTTTTGCCCAAGTCTGAATCCACTCAAGGTAGAAAAGTGGCAGGCATTGCTTGAAAACATTCTGAGTTGACCAAAAAACCCACAGTTCCCTGGGACAAAAAGTTGTGGTTCAGACATATAACAGATTACATAAAGCCTGGGAGGAAAATCTGGGAAAGTTTCTGTGGGAAATTAGGGCATTCAGAAAATACTTGTGTCTACTGGGCATTTCAAATGTCATGCACATACCCAGGGCAGGCCACGCATTCAGGAAAGATCTGAGAAGACCCTAAGCTTTTTCCTTTCGAAGATCTCTAGGACCAGGATTATCAAGAAGTGAATGCTAAGACAGAGTTGTTAATATCCTGGTTAGGTGTTGAAGGAATGCCCCAGCAAAAATCCAATCTTCAAAGATTGAAAGAGATACTTAAAAAAAATTTTTTTTCAACCACAGATGAATACATAAAGAAAATGTGGCATGTACATACAATGGAACATCATTCAGCCTTTTTAAAAAAGGAAATCCTGGCCAGGCGCGGTGGCTCATGCCTGTAATCCCAGCACTTTGGGAGGCCGAGGCCGGTGGATCAAGAGGTCAGGAGATTGAGACCATCCTGGCTACAGTGAAACGCCATCTCTACTAAAAATAGAAAAGAAAAATTAGCCAGGCATGGTGGCGGCTCCTGTAGTCCCAGCTACTCAGGAGGCTGAGGCAGGAGAATGGCGCGAACCCGGGAGGTGGAGCTTGCAGTGAGCCCAGATCAGTGCCACTGCACTCCAGCCTGGGTGACAGAGCGAGACTCAGTCTCAATAAATAAAATAAAATAAAATAAAATAAAATAAAATAAAATAAAATAAAATAAATAAAGGAAATCCTTCCATTTGCAGCAACTATACTAAGTTAAAGAAGCCAGACACAGTAGGACAAATACTACATGATCTCACTTATGTAAGGCATCTAAAATATTCAAACTGAGAAGCAGAGAGTAGAATGGTGGTTGCCAAGGGCTAAGGGGAGGAAGAAACAAGCAGGCATTGCTCATCGGGTGCAAAGCTTCAGTTATGCCGGAGGGTAAGTCCTAGAGACCTCCTGCACAGCAGAGTGACTATAGTTAACAACACTGTATTATATACTTAAACATTTACTGAAAATAGATCTTATGTTAAGTGTCCTTATCACAAAACATAAGAATTAGAAATGAAGAGAGAGGGAGCAAACTTTTTGAAGTGATGAATATGTTTATGGCATTGATTGTGGTGACGTTTTTATGGGTATATACTTATTTCAAACTCATCAAGTTGTGTACCTTAAATATGTATATCGATAAAATGGTTTTTAAAAATACATGAAGCAAATGCACATTTCTCCAAAGAAAATATACAAAGGGCCGATAAGCACATGAAAAGATGCTCAACATCATTAGTCGTGAGGGAAATGCAAATCAAAACCAGAACGAGATGCCATTTGCTGATAATGAAAAAGATAATAGCAAGTGTTAACGAGGCCATGGAGAAATGGGAACCTTATACACTGCTGGGAAGGAAGTAAAATGGTGCAGGCACTTTGGAAAACAGTTTGGCAGTCCTGGAACGGTGAAACATCAAGTTAACCATATGATCCTGCAAATCTACTCCCAGGGTATACACTCA